AAACAAAATTAAATTGACTAAATCTACTAACTTAATAAGCATTTACTCCAAACTGTTACAGCTTTAAAACAAATGAGGATGTCGCGATGAGCAAGTCCTGTAGATAGTGTAAACACAGCCTAAGCCTCAAATTTTGCCAAGTTAAAACTCAGTGTAACATGATTATTCAATATACAATGATGGCTCTAGGAAGAAGTGAGGAAGGGGCAGATTGACCTCCTCCCCTAAAGTTACTCTGTCCTTAGTTATCCCTCAGAGATACTTTTATCTCACTTTTGTACAATAAGAAAAACTTGAAAACTTAAGATTTTACAACTTTGAATTAAAGAAGCACTTGTAAACACAATCACCATTAATTCATGTCAATATTTTATTGTATATAATTTACCTATATTTAAATAAATTACCACTGCATCACATTACTGTCATATATGTTATACCATATTTATAATATTGTCACTAATACTTAAGATGACATCACGTGATGCTGAAACATGTTTATTTTGAAAAACTCCAATGTTTACCTAAGTTGTTTACTAATCAGTAAAAGACAACAAAATGTACGCAACGTACCTGTTTTTTCATAAGATGCCCCTAACATAGAACTAGAAAAATCTATGGATTTTTTAAAGCACAAGTATCTTTAAAATCACTGGTAAAATGTTTCTTCAGAATAGTGACGAAGGATATACCGGGCGGAAAGCAAATTCTTACTATAAATAATAAAACCCAAGGATAAATGGCATTCACAAGAAAGCTAGAAGTCTGTATACTTTGTGATTGTGTGTGTGTTTTTGTTTCTTTCGTGATTTCCACTTATCCCATTTCATTCCATCTTATCCCACTTTTACTTTCACCTTTTTCATCCCACCATGTAATTCAAAATTATGTAAATAGCTATTATATATATAAATCCCTTTATACTTGTAATTCAATACTGTTTGATGATGTCTTGAGAACCAAGACGAAACGTTACGCTACTAAAAAATATTCCTTTTTATACGTCATTTTTGTATTGAATGGGTTTTTTAAAAGCACCTCGCTGGGCTTTAATATTCATGAGTAACTAAAATGTTTCTTGTTATGTTTACAATTGTCACAAATTGAAACTGTACATTTAACGTTGTATCAACCCCAACATCATGATGATAAATTTATTTTAACCATTGAAGACAGAAAGTGAGAATTAATAATCTTCAATATTTTAATCAAGAAAATATTATCCAAAAAAGTTTAATTCCTCAATTCAAATGAACTTATGTCAAAAACGTAAAAGTTTGATTGATTTTCATCACAGTTATTGACATGACGTCATGATGATGTTTTTACATACGGAAATTGTTGACAGTATATAATATTTTCTGTCTTTAAGTTCATTTTGTACATAATATACGAACAAAAATTATCTCTCACATTTTTTAACTAATGACCATAGAACTCGAGAGCTATGATCTATAAGAGGACAGACACACGAAATTAAGGTCACAGAAAATTCTTGTTTTTAAATGACAAACGAACGGAGAATTTATTTCAATATTTACCTGAATATATCCCTGAATGGGCAAATAAAGAAATTAAGAATACCCAGTTGAAGCATTGGACGTATTTGAGGAAAAAGGAAAGAAAAAACCCAGTTTTCAAACATTGATTTGCCCGGCGGCTCGTGGCCACTCAGTTTTTATCACAATGACGTCATACCCGTGTATCTATAACTGTATAGACAACTGCTAAATGTTATCTATTTATTAAATATAAATAACCAATTATCTAACCATACATTTTTATTAAAAAGTAAATCATCAACATGAAATTTGTTCAGAGGTACAATACATAATAATAAGTTTGACAGAGCATCTTACAGTAGAAGTCTAATCTAGAGGATGACCTGTTTAAATGACAATTCATTTATGAAGATTACAAGTAGAATCTTAGAAAGGTATAAACAAATATTCATGATCAATTAGTATAGAAGCGCTCTTTTAAATACAAGTTATTTGTGTTATAAAAAGCAATTATAAATCGTTTCAGATTATTGCAAAACTCAGATAATATTTTACATTTTTTAATAGCAGGAGGTAAGACATTCCAGAAATAATACCGATAAATTTAAAAGATCTTTTGCAAAATTGATCAAAATTTATTTTTGTTAAATATAAATATTTCCTTAAAGATTGTCAGGAAGAATAAGTATACTTCTTCTGTAGAAAACTATAGTAGGTGGAAACAAGCAATCATCCTTACGACCATCAACGCAATTTTCTCAAAGGTTTTTCAATTTACTATTAAAGTTTGACTTGATGTATTTATTCAGGAACATTAAGTTTTAAAAATTGAATTCTGCAATCTAAACTCTCAACAATAGCTAAAGTTCCTGTGTTGGAATGCATAGTTATATTAGTATTATAATATATTCCGTGAACTTTAGCGCATACTTTACCACTCTTTAAATCTACAGCAACAGATGACGAATTAAACACTCCAATGCAATAAGATTTGTGTACAACTAGGTCGGATTCCAAATAAAATTTACCGACATCATGCAAAATCGCATTCACATCACCATTCTCGTGAACATTAATTACATAAATGACCATTCTTTTGATGCCTTTGCAAAATGTTATGACTGCTTGTTTACTATCACTTATACAGCAGTTGAGCTTTAGATCATTTACAGTTACCTGTTGTGGAACAAATTTTTCAATGAGAGATGTTATGGGTATTTCTGCAGTATGCCAAAGTTTCAAGTAAAGTTCATTGTTGCTATTTCCCCATTTCCATAATGTGTATTCTGTTTTGTTTACAGTTAAAAAAACAGAATTATCAGGTGACACAGCTGCTGCTTTAAATTTTGAATTATCGACAGGAAGTCTTTTGTTGTATTGTATCTCACCCTTGGTAATTCTAACAACTTGAACAAAATCTTGTTCGTCAATACAAACTAAGACATCACCAAATGTTAAGATTTTCTTAGGTTTAAATTCAATGTTTAATTTCTTCGTCTGCATGGAGTCTACAAAATTTTCAGATGAAGTTGATATCTTCGTAAAATGATCAGAACCATCCCATATCCACAGTAAACCATCTGACCACCAACATCCAAATGCATTCTTCAGTTGCATTGGTACAGTTTGAATAATAGTGCAACGTTCAATGCTCCAAATATGAATGTTGACGTGGTCACCAACAGCAAAAGCAGCCAAAAAAGATCCATCCGGTGAAAAACAACAACATTTAATTTCAAAAAACTCAAAGATAACTGAAGGTCTCCAAAGATGATCAGTTTTGAAAACTTTAAGCTTGGAAAAATACGGCACAACGTAAAATTCCTTAAACGAGATGGGATGGACTTTTTTAAGATTCCTCATAAAACATGGACACCTATCATGTGGTAAATGAAACACGATTTTTCCTTCATGGTTGTATTTTGTCAACTGAGTGATTTCAGAAAGCTTTCCATTCTGGTTGTATGATAAAAATACAATCACGATAATGGTGTGTTGTCATTAAATTGAGGTAGTGAATTTTATTTTTGAAAAATATCGATTGCCTTTGGGAATTGAAAACATACGAAGTCTTGACGAATTTGCAACAAAGAACTCTGAATATTTATCGATGCATTGTAGTTTTTGGTAATCAACAACGCAGCGTCGATCGATTCTTTGCATAGATAATGAATTCCATGCAGTGAACACATTTTTAGGAAGTTCATCGTAATCTTTTACATATCTTGCTGTAATAAACAAACCAGAATCTGAGAAAGAGCAACGATTAACGACATCATCTGACTGTAAACATACTAACAAACGTCCATTGTTAACGTTCCACAACTTTACTTCAGTAGATCCATCACTAGTTACCAGTCTATTTCCAGTTGGTGAAAAGGAGCAATAACAGATGTTTCCACGTATAAAACAAAATTTCATTAATGTTGGATAGTCACAGATGTTATACCAGGATATAAACATGTTTACATCATCCCACTTATTCAACCTTGAATCATCGAGTGCAGTGCCTAGAGTGCATCGTTGTTTAAATTCTGGAAGTTCAAAAATAGATATTTGACCATTTTCAAATCCTACAGCAAGAAGTTCTTCATTGGACGACACACAAAGAGATGTAACGTTAGCACGCAAAGAGACAGTCAAATGATGATGGTTTGTTAGATATGTTGAGTCTAAATTCTCAAACCAAGTAAGCTTTCCTTGTTTCAATAAATCCCTTGCCAATAATCTTTTTTCGTTGCTGCCATGAATTCTGTTTCCAATAATTTGTAAGTAAAATAAAATATTATCAAACTCAAACTCATATCTCATTGTCATTAATAAATGAAATAGTAGTTCGTCAAGTACATCTTTTCTCAAGAAAGTTCGTCGTTTCTTAATGATTTCACGCAATTCAGACCTAATAATGAGCAACATGTTAATGTCTTTCACACCCATAATTCTTGCACAAATCACTTTGACATCTACTGTCCAGCTAAAGTCAACATTTTCGCGACATTTTGACATATGATAGATTCCATTCTTCAAAGAATATTTAATCATAGCAGTGTTCATCTGATCTTCAAAAATGTTTATCGACTTAATTTGTTCAAATATTTTCTCACAAGCATGCCATAAAAACTTATGACTATTTTTTGGATTAACTGTAAACTCATGCTGTTCATAACCATCTGATTTCAACCAATCAATTAGAGATTTGTGATATACAGTTAAACAATCATCGTAAACAGGCAAAATTTGAGATAACGATTCAATGATTTTACTGCAGCCTTCAAACTTGATGTCACCAGAAAAACCTAAATAGCTAAACAGGAAAGTTAACGGTAAAAAATCCCGACAGGCAGCCAACAATTCAAGAAATTGCATAAAAGTAGTTTCTGAGACAACAGAATTTCTGGGACTCTCCTTCGTTAACAATTTTTTTACTCTTTTGAATTGCTTTGTGTAAACACCGCTTAACCCACTAGGGACCAATTGTTAATGTAAGTAAGCTATTTTCTTCTTTCAAGCTCAGTTGTGCGTAATACGCATAAAGAAATGATCCCTCACATTTTTCAACTAATGACAATAGAACTTGGCGATCTCCCTTCACCCGATTATTCAACTGATGTCTTAAATACTTGTGCAGGTCTTCTTCGTTGTTTTCATCACGAGGACGAGTTGTAATCTCCACAGGATTCATATCTTTCAACTCCTTTTGAACAGGAAGTTCTGGACGACTGGTGATGAAGATTTTAATCCATTTAGGCAGTCGGTCAAACTCTTCTGCAATCAATTCCAACAATTCACTTTTGCCATCAACTTGGCTTTCATCCAAGGCATCAATAACCAAAATCATTGGTTCATGATCTTCCAATGAATGCAATGGATCATTTAATAACACACGGAATGCATCGGTGATTGAATCTTTGAATGGTTTCTCTGTAATTCTTCATTCAGTTTACTTTTAAAATTTGATATTGTATCACACATGCTACTAGCCAATGATTCTATCAATATTCGAGGATTTCTATAATCTGATCTATTATACCTGCAAAAATGAGAAGCAGCAAGTTTCTTCTTTTCAGAATATCGTCGACACACCTCAGCAGCAAACACACTTTTACCAACACCAGGACCGGCAATCAAAATCATGACATTAGAAGAATCTTCAATTCTATCGTTAAACCAAGTGTCGAGTGTTTCAAATAACCATTGTCTAGTGCCTTCAAGGTATTTCTTGTTAAGATCTTTTATAAGACCGTTAAAATTACACTTTCCAAGCATTTCAACATTAGAATATGTTTTCTCCTGTAACATTTTTTTTACTCCTGCTACATCAGCTTTTGTTTTCTTTACATCCTCATTTATGCAAGTAAAGTTTTTTAACATTTCAATATAATTTACTTCATCGGGACTGAGTGGAGCTTTCTTTAATTCATCTATTTCAGTTTGTTGAATACCCAGATCAACCAATGCTTTTGAGATTTCATCCCACAAGCGCTCAAACGTACCGTCATCTACACTAGTTGTGCTTATGTGACCATACACTTTGTTTCTATAAAACTTTATTCTTGCAATATTTGCTGAGATTGAAGTATCTGAAGAGGAAGGATTATTCCATCCACCATGTGGCGCTGTTAGACCACATATGTTACGCAATAAAACAGTCAATAATGAAATATCAAAATTATCAAGGTTTGGCAAACCAGTTGATGGGTAAAGAAGGTCCCATTGCTCTTTGTTGATGACGCTTCTTTTTCTTAATGATTCCAATGTACTTTTATTTGAGGGTTTATTAAGTTCATTGCTTAGGTTTGACGAACGAAAATTTATATTAAACTGCAATGTTGTTTTCAAAGCTTGTGTTCCTTTATTTATCAAGAGTTTACTTAAACGAGATCCGTTTGCCTCAATCTTCAATTTTTTAGGAGGTGAAGCCATTTTTCAAACTAAAAATTAAGTTTTTGCAAAAAGCATTAATTTACAATGTGCAAATCAACAAAATATGGAAGGCATTAAAAAAAACAATATTACAAGAATTTTTATAACTAGTCCTCTTTTATATTTTTTGGATAAAAAATTGAAATAAATACGATGTTATCAACAAATTATATTTCGAAATAATCTTGCTATGACAAACATGATATTTCTTCAATCACTTCAACCTACACACTTATTTCACTTATTCAAAAGTTAGCAAAAACTACTAAAAATATTCTGGAACTGTATTTAAGGATTGCGATGATTTTCAATTATATTTTTCACACCATTATTTTAAGACTATTTGTGGTCGTTACCAGTGGCGTAGCCAGGAAAAATAGTAACCCCCGCTCATCATCTTACGCCCAAGGCGCGACTCCCACTATGCTCCCCAGGAAAATTTTGAAATCCAGAGCCTTAGAAACAGCATTTCCTGCGATTTGGAGGGCGAAATATTTGTTGTACAAAAAGTTATAAAAACCCGTTTTTATAACTTATGGCTCGACTGGTTCGACCGATAGCGGATTATAATAACGCTTATTTAAGCCATTCCATTTGTCAATAGCCAGATCAGTGGACGATCTGGAATAATCTAGACCGATAAGCGGGGTGGCCGGACCGATAAGAGTGTCCAATTGCTATCGTGTAATTGGCTCGTTTAAATTTTTTTCTTACTGTGATTGGTTTGAACGATTTCAACTGACAGCCAACTGAACTAACATAGTCAAGCTCACTGTCTGAATTGAATATTTGATCGTTTCATAGTAATTTTCTAAAGCATAATAGAAATTAAACTACAATCAGATGGAATTTATGAAAATTTTTACGAATTCATATATTGACATGAATGCTGCTGTCCAAACTGTGAATTTTTTCAAGAAGGTGAAAAATTTATGGATGAATTGTTAATGCTAGGCAAAGACGATCTCGCGAGCGACATTTCAGTCATTGATGTTCAAAAGAAAGCCAAAATTGTTTTGAGTTTTATCACCAAAAATTTATATCCAAAATCGTAAGTAAAGGACAAGTGAAGTGTATGCATGAATGTAATATATCAAAGTCAATTTATGCGAGTGCGTGATGCGATTTATGTCAGGCGAAATGTTTGGCGCTTTTCAGTTTATGATCATTGATCATTCAATCATTGGACAGTTACACTACACATTGTTTAATATTTGAGAAAACTACCATTGATTACATGAGAAGCTGTTTACTATATCCCGTGATTTTGAGTCTTTTCTGATCCATGAAGCTTTTTATTTTGACAATTTGACAGGGATTGTATTAAACTATGAAATGTTGCTCCATGTCACATATTGTCCCCTTTTCTAACTGAACACCTCATGTAGAGATGTCAAGGTGTGTTGATCTACGGCTCATACCAGATTGTTTGCCATAAATTCCAAAGAGCTATTGATTTAAGAAAAGCATTTTCTATTAAGTAAAAATGTCTTCCTATGTATGCAGATAAACCTCGAACTGATTCATATCTTGAAATCGTTCACTTAACATGCCTTTAATGGAATCAGGGGCGGATCTAGGGTATGTCAAATCTGTCATGCGACTGATGTTTATAGTTCAAAAATTATTATAATGATTAAATTTAGTTATCATTAAATTCCCGTTCTGTAATCGTTTGGATTTCATCGTCAAAATTCTGTTTTATGTATAAAAACTTATACAAATACCACCTTCATAAACAGATCAGTGGATAAAAACATATCTAGAATTATATTAACTGGCTGACTGATAAACGGGATGGCTCGACTGGTTCGACCAATAACGGAGTTTAAGAACGCTTATTTAGGCCATTCCATTGGTCAATAGCCAGATCAGTGGACGATCTGGAATAATTTCGACCGATAAGCGGGGTGGCCGGACCGATAAGAGTGTGCAATTGCTATCGTGTAATTGGTTTGTTTAAATTTTTTTCTTACTGTGATTGGTTTCACGGATTTCGACTGATAGCCAACTGAACTAACATAGTCAAGCTCACTGTCTGAATTGAATGTTTGATCGTTTCATAGCAATTTTCTAAAGCATTATAGAAACTAAACTATAATCAGATGGAATTTATGATAATCTTTTACGAATTCATATATTGACATGAATGCTGCTGTCCAAACTGTGAATTTTTTCAAGAGGGTGAAAAATTTATGGATGAATTGTTAATGCTTGGCAAAGACGATCTCGCGAGCAACATTTCAGTCATTGATGTTCAAAAGAAAGCCAACATTGTTTTGAGTTTTATCAGCAGAAATTTACATCGAAAATCGTAAGTAAAGGACAAGTGAAGTGTATGCATGAATGTAATATATCAAAGTCAATTTATGCGAGTGTGTGATGCGATTTATGTCAGGCTAAATGTTTGGGGCTTTTCAGTTTCTGATCCATTGATCATTCAATCATTGGACAGTTATACTACACATTGTTTAATACTTGAGAAAACTACCATTGATTACATGAGAAGCTGTTTACTATAAACTGTGATTTTGAGTCTTTTCTGATCCATGAAACTTTTTATTTTGAAAATTTGACAGGGATGGTTTTAAACCATTAAATGTTGTCCATTGTCACATATTGTCTCCTTTTCTAACTGAACACCTCATGTAGAGATGTCAAGGTGCGTTGATCTACGGCTCATACTAGTTTGTTTGCCATAAATTCCAAAGAGCTATTGATGTAAGAAAAGCATTTTCTATAAAGTAAAAATGTCTTCCTATGTATGCAGATAGACCTAGAAATTTGGCAAAACAGCAAAGTATTTTTCATGATCATATGAAAAGATATTTATCATAACCAGTAAGCATGATTCATGAAGCAATTTTAACATTCATGTCATTATATAATTAAAAGCCTGTTAGTTACATTCTGTTTGTACTGGCAAATACAATCCTACTGGTGATTGCTATATAGCACACCTGGCATATACTTACAGAAGATAGTAGTTTAATAGCCTAATAAACATTAATGCTGTCCTTAATTGCAAATTTTTACTCTGATAGTTTTTGCTTAATCTTTGGTAGAAAAAAATTTTGAGTTTTTTCTCAAAAGGTGAATTTGCTGGCACTGTATTTGGAGATGGGTAAAGAGTTACAATAAACTTGCATGGTTTGAAGTCTGAGCTTTTCTACATCTACGAACTGTCCCTTGTAGTACCAAATTTCTAACTCAATTCATTACATAGAGGTTTGAATGGGGGTCTCCAGGGGGTCTATGCGTGACAACTTGGTAGAAATTTTTAAAGACTATATCTGTTTTTGAATATAGCCTTATTGTAAAATAGATTTTATGTTTCTAGACATGCTAATAGCCATATATTTGCCATAATGAGCCCATTTTATGCCATAATTAAAATGGGTTTCCCTATTTTGAATAATGGAATACAAAATTATGGACTGCTCTAAAGCCGACGATCGAGCAGAGAACGGTTTAGCTAATAAGCTATTTCCTATATCAACATCAGTTGAGCAAATCGCAGTTGCACTTAAAGCCATTGTGTCATACACAAATACATAATAGCAATTTTAGAGGAAGCACAATAGAAAATTAATACCGACTATGATCTCGTAATTTGATAATCACTGACCGCTGTACTCGTATACTAAAAGGTTGAAGAATTACAACCTCCGCCAATTTAAACAGCGGGAGTTCGACTGTAAAAACAGCAGATTTGAGCATGCGCCAAGTCCCTTAGCCAACCAGAATTCAAAACTTCTCATGTAGAATTGTATTTTACGTTCCGCTCTCTTAAGATAGGCGAAATACGTGGAGAAATCGCGCCAGTATGCATTGAAATGTGCCAGAAAAGGCGGTTGTTAAGTTACAAGACAAATCTTGAGATTTTTCAGTATTACGATTACGAACCACCAAATAAAAGCGAGAAAATGAACGAAAACATAATATAACATATTTTTTGCGCAATAATGTATATTTAATCTCCAAATAGAATATTTATTATTTTTTACTCCGCCGGGCGGGAGTAGCGGGACCGCTATCTACGCCACTGGTTGTTACGACCGACAATTTTCCGACAAATATATCTAATGTATGTTTGATATTTGAACTATAAATGTTTGAAACAACGTAAAGAGTTATTTCTTGTGTCTATTGATCATGGTTTCAAAAGAATCATTTCTTTTAAAATATGTATAAGATATTAATTCATTTAAAGAAACTCAAAATTGTTAATGAAACTTAGATATGATTTCAAGAGAAAACGAAACGGTTTTTGTAACTTTAAAATTACGGCGTATTGTTCGGCAAATTTTGGGTGCAAAAACAATAATTGAAGATGAAATACTAACGTTATATATATGCTTTACATTTGTACATTGTAGTGTTAACTAAAGTTTAATTTTATTTGAAAAGAAAACAATCTTAAATCATAACGTGACAAGTAACAAGGGCATCACTGATTTAAAGTTATTTAATAACTAACCTTCATTTTTAAAATTACCTTCGTTTTAGAAATAAGACTTCATATACGACGATCGTGTGGACAAAATTATGCCTGCATTAGTTCTTTACATGTTACGTATCTAACAAAGATGAGAGATTTAATATAAAGAACGTGACCACATACATATCAGTTTAAAAGTGTTGATCATAATTCATACCTTATTGTAACATCAATCTTTTATTCTTGTAGTTTTTTTTTATAAAAACACTTTTAAATAACGAACGAAGATGAAGAGTGAGTCAGGATCTCCTTCAACAAACAGTATTATAAAACATTAATGACATCTCTGTAGAATAATCCAGTTCTATAGCTAAGTATACATCACTGATTAAAAACAACTGTTATAGAAATAAAAATACATAAACTAGAACCTGATGCAGAGTACATAATAACACTGAAATGAGTCAAATTCCAAGGACTACTGGTAAATAATATAAGGTTTAAGAAATTTCTACTCAGGAATAAAGGGATCACCTATCTAAAATAGTATTTGAATGTGAATGATTA